TGATAAAGCATGGACATTTAGGCTTAAAGGACCTTACAATGTAAAAATCTAAAGTCTCAATCTCTTACCAAGCTCAAATCACTCAAAATCTCAAGGAATATGGAAAAAAGTTCTAAAAGCTTCCTAGAAACAAGATCTAATCAATATGATGAGCAAGGTGGTGACTTTTACCTTTCAATAGAAGCTAAAGGTGGATGAAAACTGGGTCCAATAGTCCTTTCTTGTTTTGTGCTTTGATGCTCTTTTCTTTTCTTCCAATAGTTCACAAAAATGCCCAAAGATGAGCTTTCTTTCTCTCTTAGATTAGTATGGATGATTAGGGTTTCACAAAGGGGAGTTAGGAGGCTGGTGATGAGGAAATAAGGGCTTTAGGTCCTTTAAATTGGACCCAGCCCTGGAGAATTAGGGTTTCCTCTCACAGCACCAACTTGTCGATTTGGTCCCTCCGACTCGTCGAGTTGGTCCTAAAGCCCATGTAGCCAAATCCGTCTATACTCGATGAGTTGGGGCATCCAACTCGTGGATGTGACATCCCCATTTTCACGACCAGAAAAAACCAATTTTGTTTATGCTTTATAAAAATCAGAGTACCTCTTTTAATGAAAATGTTGCAGAATTTGTTCCCAGTAAAACATGATAAATACGTTATCAAAGAATTTCCATATAAAATTATTTTTATTCATTTTAAAACATTTGGAATGTCATCATCAATACAAAAACATAAGCATAAATAGAAATTACATTCATTATCACTAGGGATTTATATCTCCTTAATCTCTCAGTGTAATGTGACTTCATATCAGCATATGTGATATAAATAAACTGAGTGGGTCAGGTTGGGAAAACTGGTGAGTACATAGGGTTTTCGACCCATAATAATATAATTATTTTGTTTAAGCATCAAACAATCAACCCAATTACCCATCCTCATTATCTTCTTTACTCTTTAGGATTTACCCTAAGAATCATCTATTCCTCATTCATTTATTCCTAAGGATCATCCTAAGGAATTGGCATGAAGTCCATTGTTGCCATGGTTTACACAATAGACACTAAATCTACATAGTCGCCAGGGTTTAGGCACCAAGTATGCATGGTCACCAGGGTTTAGGCATCAAGTCTGCATGATCTCCAAGGTTTAGGCACTAAGTCTACTTAGTGACCAGTGTTTAGGCATCAAGTCTGCATGGTCGCCAAGGTTTAGAGTACACTGGGTGAACACATCGTTCACAACACCTACATGTTACGAGTCTGCTAGTGTTCCACTAGACTGTCTAGAATAGTCTATAGTTGTCATCCATACTCTGCTAGATGATGGGTCCATCATTTGGGTAAAAGGCTTCTCTCATTGTTCACCTCTCACCCTTATCTCATGGTCTATATAACCTCTCATCTCGTCATCCGACTCATATTTCATCTACCCATGTTTTACCAAACATATTTTGTAGATATAAATACATATATAGGTTAATTCATTTAAAGCATGTATAAAATCGTTCATCCAGCATAGATAGCAAGTATTCAGATAAAATGCACATATAGCCGTAATTTATATAAAATACTTCGTATCTATGTGTAAGATAAAAGTAACTATGCACTCACAACACGTAATTTATATTAAATATGTCATATCTATTTGTAAGATGAAAGGGACCATGCACTCACCTGAGAAGGTGGTGACTCGGCACTTGAACAACACTTCGTTACTCTCAACACAATTTTACTCGGATAAAACCTAGTATCATTACCACTAGAGTCTAGTCTAATATTCACCGAGATTATTTAATAGTCTGGCTATTATTATTATTCCATAAGCATTAAACAATACTTATATAACCCATAATAATAGCCCAAGTACTTATTATAAGTTCCTAATAATGTTACTATAATTAAATAAAAGCTATATTAAAAATAGTGTAGGCATAGGTCACTGACAGCGGGTTTTAAAGAAAACCAGACTTCGCTCGGAGCAGTGTTTCCAAACCGAAAGACCCTTTTTATCGGGACTCCGGGAGCCTCGGGGCTTCCCTCGGTTGATATGGGGTTTACCTAGGCTTTTAGGGGGTTAGGGTAGGATAAAGAGAGAAAGAAGTTAGAGAGAGAAGTGGAAATGTGCAAAAAATCTGGCTGGCTTTGCATGGTACTCATAGTCGCAAGCCTCCTCGAAATGTTGGGCATTCAGCAGCTCTACGTGGGGCGTAGCTCGGATCAAGTCGACAGGTGTCTCACTTCGGATGAGGTGACGTGGAGCTTCCGAGACCAAGCGAGTCCAAACACGGGGCGTTCCATCTACGCGGCGTGTATGCAAAGCGACGTGTCCTTATTAGATGCGAGACTGTGGGAAGCAAGGGAAGGCTAGGATCGTGCCTCGTCATCATTTCATGCATCAGTTTCACAAATTGCACACTTAACTTCTAAAAAGCATCACTTTCGCATACGGGCTCCGTTTTTGACGTTCTTTATATCCACACGTAGGCGGGAATGTACTCTACAACTTTCATTTAGACTCTATCAGTTATCTTTGAGTTTATTTTAAACTTTATATTTTTAATAGGCAGGGACAGGATTGGTCCGTTAAAAATACATAACCTCTTCGTCTAACGTCCGTTTTTGTCTTTCTTTTTACCGTTATATTATTATTAACGATAGCTTCGATTCTCGTTTAGATTGTGTCGGCTAAATACCACTCAATCTAATATTCAAACTCCAGGATCTACACTACTAAGCCAAAACTTCGAAAAATCTTTACTTCCTCATACGAAGTCAGATTTGGGCGTTCTTTTTATGGAAGTTCTTGGTTTAATGTATTCTGCGACTTTAGTTTAGATCGCTAAAGCTAAAAGTCTTTCTATGGTAAATTCACTATTCACGCTTCCCAATGTCGTGCCGGTTCCATTGCAAAACTTCGATGGGTCAAAACTTTTTCGTTATGACTCGAATTCCGGCGTTCGTTATATGTATGGAACCGTTGTAACATATTCCACCACCTGTTTAACTATATTTATTCTAAATAATATTTTATCGAAAAATCGTTTTAGAACCCTATTATCTGTAAATTAATTAGCCCGGATCTACGAGCTTTACAATTATCTCCCCCCTTAGGATGATTACGTCCCAAAATCATCAACGAAACAGGACTCACATGATGAGTCCATACGTTATCTCTTTATCCTAAGTAATAACCATAACTTTGATGTTTCTTCGAACGAGTATCTAACTCTAAGACTTCCTAACTGCAGACGGTGTTCGATCTTGCACTAGCTCCTTATCTCATGTTAGACTCCAAATTATGACCATCAAGTCACAATCTCGATCCTCACTGGATACGAATTTAAGATAAGTTCTTTTATTACTACAATGGAATGATGTTTTATATTCTAATGACCTATCCTCTTATGTTGCAATGCTTAGACTCAGGTCTCTTAGAGTCTTCCAGAACAAACCATACTTTCCTTCATGTTCTAATCTCATCTTTAAAGGTAGCATTTCTAGCTATAAGCAACTATCACGATACTTGTACCGATTGTTTTGATTATCTTTTATTTCAATCTTCTGGCTTAAGTCAGAAGCTACATCAAACTTGGTTCTCTGAACCACGTAACATATTCATTGTAGTCGGACTCAGTTCAATATGACCACTAGGGTCGGAATAACAATCATCCCCTTAGTCATTGTCCAAAATGATGGACAATGTGGTTACAAAACTCATTGCTTTGTAATGTTTTGTAATTTCTTCTCCTCTAGCTTCTTGCAAGTTTTTTTTTTAATAATATTCATCTTTAAGTTGTTCAACAAAATAAAAAAGAGATGATCTCCCATAAGAGCCTTATTTGCTCTATGAAAACTAGGAGGTTGAGATAAAAGATTCCGATTGAACTCCGTCACCATTAGAAGACAAGTGATGTTTTTGAAAACCCGAAGAACCATTTCTATCCGCACCGGCTTCACGTGGATCAGGATCAAGACCCACCACATTTGAATTAACCTCAACCGGAGAAGAATTATGTCCAACAACCGGAGCAACCATTGCAGTAGGCGCTGCTGATTAAAATCACTTTTTGTGATTTTGTAAATAAACCCAAATGTTTTTGTGGTTTTACATAAATAATACATTGATCAGACTACTTGAGAATTTGATGTTATTTATGTTTGTTATTGTCAAAAAGAACATTATAACATATTAAAGATAAATGGTTATATATAAAATAATCAATTAGAATTAGAATATGTTGCAAATAGAATTTAAAAAAAAAAAAACAACAACAACAATATTTTTTTATATAACTGGAAGAGGTTTTACATTTCTTAAAATCTTAATTAAAATTAGGCCGAGCAACAAAAATGTAGTGGCGTCTCACCTATAAGCAACAAATCAATTACATGATCATGAGAAACATACACAAATGCATGAAACCGGTCCAAATTAACAAATGACTATGTTTGATTTGGATATTGATTTTAGAGTTCATAAAATACTGGTTTCTAATAGGAATATTCGAAAATTACACATAAAATACTTCATTTTAAAAGCTTGAAATAACATTTTTATATTTATATATAATTGAAGTATAGAACGATAAGTTTATACACATTCTAATTGGTAAACCATTTTAAATAAAGGTCAAAGATCACAAAATATTACTTAACTTTAATAAGTGAACTAATCAAGAGATGCTCTTTTTTGTTGGCTAAGTTTTAAAACCATAAGCTAGCTATCAATGTCTTGTAAGCTGATTTTGGGTTTCTAATTATTAACATTAATTTGCTAAACATAATCGTCTATTTAGTTTTAAAGTATTTGAAACATGTACGCATAGAAACGGAAAACAAAATAACGACTGTGAAAATTAACCATAAAACTTATAATGAGAAGTCTGTGAACCTGCAAATTGGACAGACTCTATTCTTCAGCGACCATTTCTTGATACACTTTGGATGATACTCATGTCCGCATTCCAGTGCTCCGATCAACTCACCCCCTTTGTATTCTTCTTGACAAATCACGCAAATCTCTCCATCCCCTTCATCTCCTTCACCTCCTTCTCTTCTTTTTCTTCATCTGATTTGTAGTTCTCCTCTTCCACTTCCACTTCCACTTCATCATCTCCTTCCTCTGTTTCATCATCATCACCGTCGTCTTCGTCTTCGTCTTCGTCATCATCATCATCATCATCATCATCATAATCATCATCATCATCATCATCATTATCATTATCATTATCGTCGTCGTCTTCATGATCATGATCATCATCTTGTTGTTGTTGTTGACGAGACTCTAGCAGGACTATAAACTTGGCAATATTCATAGGCTGTTGATCATCGGCCACTTGTGATCCATCCACGAATCTAGCAATGGCTACTGATCCGTGATTAGTTGTAAATTCCATTGAAAGAGTTGTATAAGCAGGTCCACCATCAGACATCACGGAGAAGACGTCTCCAGAGTCGTGAATCATTGCTGACTGAGTTGGAGAGGGGTCGAGGACCATTATTTCATCCACATCCTCACCTGGTTGTGCGTTGACGATGAAGTAGTGTCGGGAAGCTGGGACTATAATCCCATATGAAGACATAGATGCAGCCATAGTACGAGTAATTAATTGTCAAGTGTCAACTTGTCAATAGACACAAGTATTGTACGTACTCTGGAAGAAGAAACTCTCAAACCTACATTTGATCAATCCATCATATGATGTGATTTAGTTATTTATAGTCGAGGATTAGTACAGGATTTGTAGTTGCTTGTACGGCAAGTGATAAATCTTTCCTTGTATAAATCTTATCTTTATTATAATCTAACAATGGCTGGATTTTATTGGATTTTAAATTCAAATCCCTTTTGAATCTTTTAAATAGTACAAACCAAATCACGTGACAGTTTTGCACAAGTTTGATTTCTTTAAATCTTATTAGTTAAGCAATTCTAGTTTGTTTCCACATTACACGATATTAAGTGAAATATATATATATATATATATATATATATATATATATATATATATATATATTATTCAGAGTGGAATAGAAATCCACACGTGGAAGCTTACATGGCATTCCAAAATACTCGTGAACACCGCCCCAAGAACTAGTGGCTTGGGTGTGGAGTGTAAAGACGGATCAAGACAACCAATAACAAATAAGCAACAGCAACAATGTCCCTTTCATCCACTTTCTTTTATTAAAGTTAAAATTAGGGAAAATGACGTATATACCCTATAAACTTTTTAGGATTAACTCTTTTAGTTATTTAATATTTTAATTGACTTTACGAGGGAACAACCTCATGGGCTACTTCTCTTTATAGGCATCTTGACTTGTTATAACCGGTTTAGGTGCCACATACCCAAAACTCGGGCCCATTTCTTTTCTGTTTATCATTTTCCACTATGTTAACAATCATTTTTCTTTTATTTTATTTATTTATTTTTTTTGTCTTTGTGTGGGCAAAATTTCCTTCCCTAGACACTTAAAAGCTTTATTAGGATTCCAGCTTCACTTTACGCTTCACTCTCTGATACTCTTTTCCAACACTTTCGTAGCAATTCTTCTTTACCATAAACAATACCAGTGGCAACAAAATAAATAAATAGAATACATTTTACATAGGTGTTCAAGCACATCACCGGCCGGAGGACATGAACGAGTCTGTGATCGGTGCCGACATCGTTGAGTTCTGTATTTGTGAAAAATTAAGCACTCAAAGAAGATTCACCAAGTCGACCAGAGTGAATATTCATCTCTTATCTCCAACACGGTATCGAAATCCCCCGGTAATAGCTCTTTTCCTGTAAGAAATTTCAAAACTTGCGACATGCTCGACCTTACTGCCGTCACGGAGTGCGAACAAAGCAACCCCACCTTCAAAACCAAATCCATTTCCTCAACATCCAAATCGTCCTTCAGTTTTAGGTCAATCGCTTGCGATAATATCTCCTCAAACCAACAATTCAACACGTAATCGACCAAAATCACCGCATCTTGTCGCCCCTACAACTCCACCGTCCGCCACCCACAAACAAACCATCGATTGCAGCTTTTCTGCTTTTGTTCTTCACCTTCATCGAATCAACCAGGCACGGAAGTGCTTCCCACTTTTCTGATTTTGGTTACGTTCCTCTTCATTCTCGATCGACTGCTTACGTTTCAAACTCATCCATTTTAACATAGACAAAAATGACGAACATGAAAGGAATGGGGCCAAGTTTTGGGTATGTGACACTTAAACCGGTTACAACAAGTCAAGATGACTAAAAACACAGGTAGCTCATGAGTTTGTTCCCTCATAAAGCCACTTAAAAAATTAAATGACTAAAAGAGTTAAGCCTAAAAAGTTTATAGGGCATATACGTCATTTTCCCTTAAAATTATGGCCCGAGAAAGTGTTTCTTTGTATCTGATGATACCGTTTTATTTATATTTAAATTAAATTAAATTATATATATATATATATATATATATTAATGAAATATGGTTTTATTTTTTTTTATGTTTTTAAAATATTTATTTATGTTATAAATTATGTTTTTTAATTAATTTAATGCTAAAAAACTAGAATAATAATAAAAAAGAAATATTTTGAGTAGTAACCATTCCAAATTTCTAATCGGTTGGTGGTGAAGCTGATGTAGCGTAGAGGTGGGAACACTTTTTCGATAGATTGGTGGTAACAACTCACCATAGCCTAATTTGGTTTATACGTCCATTTACCCAGGCTCCATGAAAGTTAAATGAGTTCTTGTTTTTAATCAACTATCGTCAACAAAATAAGTGGCTTCAAATTGATTTAAGCATAAAAAAATTATAGAATGTACATTTTTGTTTTAAACCATATTACAAGAAAACCATTTGACGCTTTTTTGTGGAAAACTATTATCTAATTTCTTCCTACTGCCAGGCCGGGTCCAGAAAGCAAGGTCGTTAACTTAAATGTAGCATGTGGGTAATATGTAGAGATGGCAAAAAAAACCCGTACCCGATGTGTACCCGAAACCCTAATCCGAGTTGACCGAGTAAATCCCCTTGTTGACCGGGGATGGGTATTACCCGAATATAAAAAGCGGGGATGGGGATGGGGATGATTCTACATTTCGGGTATCCATACTCGTACCCGAAACCGGCCCCGATGCGTACCGGATATATATATATATATATATATATATATATATATATATATATATATATATATATATATATATATCTTCAGGTTCATTTGAGACCATTCTAATTTTGTGAGACCGTAAGACTAAATCTAAAAATAATTTTAAAATGCAAAATAAATGGAAAAATCTAAAAATTCTTTGTTTAAATATTATTTTCGGAACTTGAATTAACTAAAAATAAATAAAAAAAACTTCCGTTTTTTTTGAAAAATAAGTGAAATATTCTAATAGAATATTACACTGACATATTCTAAAAAATAATTTTAAAATGCAGAATAAATGGAAAAATCTAAAAATTCTTTTTTTAAATATTATTTTCGGAACATGAATTAACTGAAAAAAAAAATCTTTTTTTTTTAAATACGTGAAATATTCTAATAGAATATTACACTGACATATTCTAAAAAACAATTTTAAAATGCAGAATAAATGGAAAAATCTAAAAATTCTTTTTTTAAATATTATTTTCGGAACATGAATTAACTGAAAAAAAAATCTTTTTTTTTTTTTAAATACGTGAAATATTCTAATAGAATATTACACTGACATATTCTAAAAAATAATTTTAAAATGCAAAATAAATGGAAAAATCCAAAAATTCTTTTTTTAAATATTATTTTCGGAACCTGAATTAACTAAAAAAAATAAAAAATAAAAAAATAAAAAAATCCATCTCACGGTCTCACAAAATTAGACCGTCTCACATGAACCTAACCATATATATATATATATATATATATATATATATATATATATATATATATATATATATATATATATATATATACACACACACACTAATACACTATTACTTATGTTTTTATTTTTAATAATGCATAAGCAAATTTTCAGTAGACAATGTAAGGTTTTTTAACAATCAAACGTATAGTTTGGGGAAGAATTTTTATATATTTTTTTTGTAAAAAATGATTTTATTTGTAACCTTGATTGTTATTGTTCGTGTTTGAAGACATTCAGTGATTATAGTGTTTTATATTAGTTCTGTTAGTTTTTGTTTTGTTGGTTAATATATAACTATAAGTTATTTTTCATAAAAGTTCAAAACATTGTAACGGGGAAAAATCACCGATTACCCATTAGGGATCCCCGATACCGATTGGGGATGGGGATGGGGATAGATTTTTAATCCCCGATGGGGATGGGTCGGGTATGGGGATGTGGATGAGGATTCAGGTATGGGGATGGGGAACACGAAACCCGGTATCCTCGTACCCATTGCCATAAGGATTAAAGCCTTTGGAAAAAGGGAGATCTAGACAAATTTTGGTACGGATAAGGTAATTGAGGTGAGGATAAGTTGATAGATGTGTAGAGCTTATCGCCAGCTTTCCGTGGATTTAAAGAACATAAAAAATGAAGTTGAAACGAGAAGTTATGGCCATTTGAAGTTGGAGTGGTTTGGGTGAGTGACCATTGACTTGTTGACCAAGCTCATTTAGGACTCACAACATGAGCATGAAGTGCTCACGACGTGAGACACACCTGATGCACCAAAACCCTAATTTACGGTTATTTAAAGGTATGGCATGATTAGGGTTGCTTCTCCTCAGCCTCGTTCACTCCCAAGTCACTGAATAACCCTACATTTGGGCTTCTTCAGCACTTGAGCAATTGTTAGTGGTGTTATTCTGTTATAGTGGTTGTTTTACTTGAAGGAGAAGAAGAAGAAGAAGAAGAAGAAGAAGAAGAAGAAGAAGCTCTTGTGGAGGTTCCTTTGGACGAGATAAGCTCCTTCAAGTGGTACTTCTAAGCTCATAAGCCTCTGTAAGTCTTAAAGATCCCACCTTTCTCCTCCAATCTTGCTAGATCTAGGTTTTGGTTACCTTCTTTGCATGGGATCTTGAAGTGTCATGTATGGGATTTATAAAGTTGGCAACTTTATGGACCATTGAGTCATTTGCTATGCTAGGACCCTGAGATATGGATTCTGGTACAAGTTACGAGCTCCTAGTTTGAATCTTGATGTTTATACACATATTTTGACCTAACTAGTATTTAAGTCATGTATTGGACATATGTGATTAAAAGCTTTGATTTTTATGGTCCTTGGGTTCAAGGAAGACACTCTAGACTGTCCCATGTTATAGCTTAATGGATTAGGAACTTAATACTCATTTTTGGTCAGATCTAGACTCACAATGTGATGAATGAAGCCTCACGATGTGAGAATGTATTCAAGGAAGTATATGGGCCAAAAATCGCGACCTCATGGTGTGAGCATAAGGTGATCACAATGTAAGAACCTTATATGCAAGATTTTGACTCTTTGAATGTTGGATAGCTTGGTCTTGGACTTATCCTTTGGTTTGGGCTCATAATGGACTAAGGATTTTAGAGTAATGGACTTCTGTTTAGGCTTGCCCTAATGGGCCTTGGATGGTGAGTTGTGCCTTAGTGGGCCCAAT